TCAAACAGTATTCCGCAACGCCATAGCACTGTGCAAAGGAGCGCACCTGCAGCGCCTTAAGGCATATGACAAAAAGATTCTTGATCTGGCGACGCAATCGCCAAGCGACGCATCGCTCCGCACCGTCACCACGCAAGAGCTTGTCGCAGCTGACCGCAAACTGTGGCGCGAGATCTCGCTTTTGCACAGCGCCGGTTGGACACTGGATGACGCCCTGCATGAAATGACAAGCATCCGCTCGGACATTGGCAACCTCCTCCAGCTGCGTGCTCGGCCGCCTCCCCCCCCGCAAAAGCCACCTCCTCGCCTACCGAACAAAGGCAACGGCAAAGGCAAAGGCAAGGAGAAAGGGGGCAAAGGCAAGCAAGGCACACAGCCAGGCAAAAGGCGCACTCCCGGCGAAGGCACAGCACAGGAGGTCAAAACAGCGGACCTCGTGCAACAGCACGGCAACAAGACCTTCTGTATTCGTTACAATAAAGGGCACTGCAAGAACGCGCAGTGCAAATATCTTCACGCATGCGCATACAAAATGCCCAACGGTGAGCCTTGCGGCAAAAGTCATCCCGCCTGCCAGCACCGCAACCCCCAGGAGCCGCCTAGCTCCTGAAAACCGCAGCTGGAACTGGCCGGGCAGGCCCAGTTGCCCTCGCCTACTCTCCCGGCTGCACAGACTCCAGCCGCCACGCATGGCACACCCACAACGCCTGCAGACGTACCTGCAGCACCGGCAGGACAGCATTGCCCAAAAGCACAGCAACCAGAAGCTACTCCTTGTACGCATAGCCCAGCACAAATGCAAGAAGACAGTCATTCGCACAGCTCCGAATCCAGCTCATCAGAAGCAGAAGATGCCGGGCCTAAGACATCCAAGCATAGATTCCTGCTGCACAGCATAGCGGAGGACCCGTTCAGCTGTGACCGGTTCTGCTACCAGGCCATGGCACAGCACAACACTATAGAAGATGAACTTTACTCTGCCTGGCATAGCCTCGTCTGGTCGGGAGCGGTCGGAGCAACACTGCTCCTGTTCCCTGCACATTCGCTTGATTTGGCATCGCACACCAGATTATGCGCGCTTCTTCGGGCAGCGCACCTCCAAGGCAGTCAGGTCTTTTTCGAGTACCCCAGGCACTGCGATGACGAGATTGCAGATCTGTACACACAGCTGTGCCAAGAGTTAGCAGTGCACTGCATACAAATGAAGCTGCCCCAGAGCGACGCCTCGCACATCATTTGCTCCACGCATGCAGCACTGGCAAGCGCAACACAGCAAGCTGATCCATACCAGCACATGCTCGCTCTTGCAGCGCAGGAGTGCACATCGCACCTCAATGCCCCTATCCAGCCAGCAATGCTGCAAAAGCATTTGCCGCGCTGCTTTCTGCCACGCAGGCCCGCGGTCTGCGATGGAGCAGGCATGTTCAGCACTGCAGATCACTCTGCCAATAATGTAAGCAGTAAGCCCAAGCCCCTAGCAAAGCTAGCCTCTGCCTTTAAGCAATACCTCACTAAACACGGCCTCGTTTCGCATATTTCTAAGCACCTACAGTCAGGGCAAGACTCGCACCCGCTTAGTGAAGACCATCGCAACGCCTTGGCAGACATTGTGCATCAGACCATGGCACCCAACATCGACAAAAACCAGTTCCTCCGAATCTCGGACGGGCAGCCCTTCCGGCTCACAGCACTGCAATACCTGGCACAAGCCATTCATGATAAAGATGCACAGCTACCCATCATCCTCGATGAGGGAGTACCTACAGGTGCTTTCGGAGCACTGCCCAGCAGCGGGCAGTGGCCCACAACGCAAAGCTCTTTAGACTTTGCAGACGACTTCAGCCCTGCATCCCTCGAGCACTGCAGGGGGAATTGGTTCCTAGCGGAAAGCAACCCCGCACTGCTGCAAGAGCTAGTGGAGGATGAAGTGCGCAAAGGCTTTGTCGCAAAGTTCGAAGGCACCGAAGAAGACGCAAAGCGCCACTGGCCGCAGGGCACTGCAATCGGCAAATTAAACATTGTTATGGCCGAAGGACGCGACCCACGCCTGGTCCTTGACAGCACTGTGTGCGGACTTAATCCGGCCGTGCATCTCCCAGAACGGGTGTCACTGCCCAACGCCTCGGACGTGCAGCGCACATTTTTGTCAGATGACTGCTACGCACAGCTTCACGCACTGTCACTAGACTTTAAGGCAGCGCACAAATGCTGCAAAGTCAGCCCCGCAGACCAAGGCACCCTGCTGTTCCGAGTTGGCAGCTCCCTGTACTACTACAAGGTTTGCCACTTCGGGGCGCGCTTCTCGGCATATTGGTGGCAACGCACAGGTAGCCTTCTACTGCGCTGCATACATGCGCTGCTCTGTAACTACCCGCATCGAGCCTGGCTTTACGTCGACGACCTCCTGGCCCTGCTCCGCACAGCTGACAAAGACATGGCCACCGCACTGATAGTTGCACTGCTTTCAGCCCTGAACGCACCCATCAGCTGGAAGAAGGCTCAGTTCGCCCAGGAAGTCACCTGGTGCGGGTGGACCATTCGCACGGACGCAGAGACCATTGAGCTCCGCGAACTCAAATTGCACAAGCTCCGCGAGCAACTCCTTGCACTGCAACGCAAAAGCAAAGTGCAACGCAAGGAGCTGGAGGGCGTACTAGGCCTACTTAATTGGGCCACCTCCCTAAGTAAACACATGCGCCCTTTCATGGCACCGCTCTACAAAGACCTACACAGCTGCAGAGGCACACTGCACAGCATCTCACCGAGCATGTGGGGCACCTTCCTAGATTGCCTGGACAACAACGCAAAGCTCACCCGCACGCCAGCAGGCTCTTGGCTGCCACGCAATGCCCAACTACTTGAGGTTGGCAGCCTCAAAATAGCAAGCAAAGCAGATGTGCCCCTTGTGCCGCCCTCGCACAAACACCAATGGCTAAGGCTAGCTGACCCGCACCGCTCTGAAGTTCACCTTCGCCACGAAAGCAAATTCGTTCTGGCATGGCTGCAGCATTGCTTTGCGCATGAGCAGCCTCGCTCGCTGCGCACAGCGCCACGAATGCACTGCTACAGTGCGGCGGATGCATTCGCAGATACGCACCGCATGGGCATTGGAGGATGGATCAGCACTGCCGACGCCTTCCTGTGGTTCAGCGCCATCTTCTCTGCAGAGGAAGTGCGCAAGCAATGGCCGCAACTGCAAGGCAGCCTGCAGCCTTACATTGGCTGCTTTGAATCGCTCGCACAACTTGCACTGGCACAGTGCTCCTGGCAACTGCTACGCAGTAAACAGATCCGCTTTGTTCTGCCCACGGCATCTGACAATACCAGCGCAGAGTCTGGCCTTAATAAGCTTTTCAGCACGGCAGAGCCCCTAGGGACTTTCCTTCGCCTGGCGGCCACCTGGGCGCATCTGCACCGCGTGCAGTTTGAGGTGGAGCACCTCGCTGGCGAGAAGAACGTTTGGGCAGACAAGCTCAGCAGGGGCTCAACTGCCTTTCTTCAGCATCGCACTGCTGACAAAGTTGAAGTCACGCTAGCGCAACTAGCATCCGCATCGCATTGCGTCACATTACATGATCACGCACTCGCTTGGCCGCAACGGCTACTAGACGCTCAGCACGCAATGCTTAAATGATGTAAAAAAAGAGTGGAGTGACGCCTCTCTCTTCCTCTCTTTCCGTGAGAACAGCTTTGCTTTTCACGCTCTTCATTTCTCACGCCCTGCCTCGCCAGGTACATCCGCCAACTCGCGCGGTGAGGGGCTTTTACAGCAGAGGTTGTCGAAGTGCACCTAAAGTGGGGGTTTGCTCGGCATCGCTTGCCGCTTTCCCTTGCGAGCAATGCCTCGCTCTGCACTGCACATTCGAGCAACCTCTGCGGAAAAATAGAGCGTATGCAGTTCGCACTGCACTTAGCGTTGAGAACAGTTAGGAGAACGCTAGTTGTGAGTTTGTGTTTTTGATTCAACTGTGTTTTCTTGTCTGTGTCGAAACCTTCAAACGCTCCGCGCTGCTTTCGGCACCAGCACTCACAACTAGTGTTCGCTTTCTTGCATCGCATGCATAAGAAATTTTTCACCCACCCTCCACGCCCTTGGGGGTTTGCTCGGCATCGCTTGCCGCTTTCCCTTGCGAGCAATGCCTCGCTCTGCACTGCACATTCGAGCAACCTCTGCGGAAAAATAGAGCGTATGCAGTTCGCACTGCACTTAGCGTTGAGAACAGTTAGGAGAACTAGCATGTTTCACTGCGTGTTCTCCATAGGTCGTACCACGGCTCAAGCCAGCGGGAAAATAGTGGAAGCCCGTGCCGTGTGTTGACAAGGGTTTAGAAGTGACACTGGTAAAGGGTTTGAAACTTTCAGCTTCACAGCCTAACAGATCCAATATGGGACAACTGCATGTCCTGCTCTTTGAGGCTTACAACTAAAGCGGCCCGGTCATGCACGAACCATGAGTGCTCCCAGATGCGAGTAACAGTTTGTGCATGGTGCCATTGCTCGCAAGTGGGGCATAAGGCCGAAATATTTTTTCGTGCATCGTGGAAAGAGTGTCCAGTTTTGCATCATGGCGACGTCGCAAGACGATTGAAACTCGTGGCAGTAATGCGCACTAGGAGTGGATTCGGTTCCATGCCGCCGTCCGCTCAGCAAGTCGAGCCCTTGCGTAGCGTCAGCATCCAGATTGACACGTTCTTGTTGTCGGACAGTTGAGGGCCGCGTTTTGAAAAATGTTCGCTGGAAGCCCCACCAAGCTCGCCGAGACAAAATGCATCTTCTGAGTGGCAGTTCTCGGTGGGAGTTTGCGGACACAGTTGTGGGAACGTCAGGTTCGGTTGATCGTGTATGCTTTACAACTCGCTGATGTTGTGTGAGAGCAGCTGTTTCAATGAAAATGAAGGCATGTTGGCTTGGAGCTTCCTGGTGGAAGACACATCCACTTTTCCAACCATGTGACCGTGCATGCTATTATTAGAGGTCGGACCTGGAAGAGAACTCAGTCCATGCAAATCATTATCAGTGGGGAGCAGCACCTCAAAGCTAGGAATGTTTTCTTTGCCCGGGTGGCAAACATTTCAGATGTGAGGATCAAATGTGAAGCCCGAAGCCCCATGGCTCAGTTCTGGCCAGATCTCGTGCATCCCTTAGCCTCACGGAGGTTTTTTTCGCAGGGAGAAGCCGGACCTTCCTTTGTGTGCTGCGAGCGATCTGAGGCTGCTCAAATGATGGCCATGGCAGGCCATATGAGCTTTCATGGGGACATCTCTTGTGGATCGCTTAGCTGTCGGGGTCAGGACCCTGTGGTTGTCGACCGCAGGACGGGCGTGAGAGAGTTGGATGTGACACCTGAAGTGCAGAGTTTGACTGATTTACAACCGCTAGGTTTGCAGGTATCGCGCCTTCTGTGCGGTTTGCAACATGATGATCAGGTGCAGTTTGCCGCTGTCGGAGCACAGGCAGGCAGACACAAGCATACCAGCATGGCATAACTTGGGCCTCGCACAGTAGAATAGCACATGAACGAATGTCAGATGAGCGGCCCTCGGAAGGACATGCAGCAGCCTGATACTGAGACCTTAGCCGCCTCAGCTCATCTGTTGGATCGGTCTGAAAACCTTTGTGAGGCCGTTACCTGCCACTTTGCCTCCATTGTCCCACAGTCCCACAATGCCTTCCCAACCCATGGGGCAGTCGCCTGAGAACTGCTAGAACTTCATCAGCTTCGGCGCTGCAGATCTCGCATTGAGGCCACAACTTGTGCCGCAGCGCGACTCCCCGCAAGGCACCGCAACCCTCAGCCAACCTTCACGGCAGCCAGCACAAACACAAATGCACACTCCCCAGTCATCCCAGGCACCTTCGACCACTCTCACAAGCCAACCAGCTTCATTCCCAGCGTACCCGTCGCCCAGCCACGTTCCCAAAGCGCCAGCACAGATTCAACAGCCCCCCACTCAGCTGCAGCCATCGGCACCTGTTCGGCTTCAGCCCCAGCAAGCCGTGCAGCCACAGTACGAGTCATGCCCTCAAGCGCTGCCGTTTCAGCCTCCCCAGACGCCACAGCCAGCGCCCGTTCAGCCTGCACAGCCTGCACAGTCTGCACTGCAGCAGACGCTGCCGCAGCAACCGCAGCAACCGCAGCAACCGCAGCAACCGCAGCAACCGCAGCAACCGCAGCAACAGCATCCCGGAGGCCTTCCCCGTTCTGTCTCGCTGCACATGCTATCAGGCTACCGCGATCAGCTAGCTGTCGGAAAGCCAGGAAGATGCATAGGCTTAGAAGCTGGCATGTTTAGAGAAGAGGGCAACAGTAGCAATATCGAGGCGGTCATTAAAGGTGCAGAGAAGCTCAAATCAAGCCTCAACAGCAGCTGAAATTTTTGCTACGCAGGACAAGCTAACTTCAGAAGATGGATGGGTGAATTCCATGCTTTCTCAAGCTACCTCCATGGAACCCACATAGTGCGACAAGTAGCATAGGTCAATAGCAACATCCAGTAAGCAGAAGTGCAAACAAGGGCCAAGAGGCCCAGTTGATGCGGGCACTCTCCTCTGTGAAGCGTGCGGAATATGCGGAAGAACACGGAAGCCAAACAACGGACGTGGCTGGCACAGAGCCGTTTGCTGATGTTTCAGGCTCGCCTGGCAAAAGGAAATCCAAGCATTGGAAAGGGGGGGCTTTTTCAGCGTGCACGTTGGCATTGAGGAGACGGCCACGACGTTTAACACGACCAAGACCGCACGTACATGCGGACATCCAGGGTTTCAAGAGCACGAATCCTTGCCTCGGAACCTGACAAACCAAGAAAAAAGCGAAGCTTGTTTGCTTGCTGCGGGCCTGCGTGGTGTTACATGAAAAGAGCCAACCGATCAGCAAACTGCAACAGTACACAGGATGTCGTGCGTCCCGAGCATCGCACAAGCACTCGAGAATGCCACCGATAACACCATCTGCTGCGAGTGCCGAAAATCACAAAGAGATTGGCTGCCACTGAATCATCAGGAAGCCGAGCATAGTATGAATGAAGTGAGGCATCGGAAAGCGTAAATGCATCATTGCAGAAACCGACGCAAAACCAGAGCACCTTGACAGCACTCCACGCTCTGCACAGTCCCAGGATCCTCAGTACCCGTGCCCCGTCATCTTTTACGGCAACATTTCAGCAAGTTAACACCCAGGTCTCACAGGAGCTTCTGCATCTTTCCTGAGCCCACATGTGTGCGCGTGTTTTCACTATTTTCACGCTTAAGCGTCGACCCACACCCGGGGACGGCTCGCCTTTGAAACAGCGGAGCATACAAAATATGCAGGGCAGACATGGGAGGGTCGAAGGGTCAACAACGGTCAGCAACATCAAATGCGGGTTGCCTGTCCTGCCAATGAAGGTATTCGCTCCCAGAGTTTGCATGTAGCTTGTTTGTTTTTTATACACCAGCTCGGTGGAGTGGAGTTGTCCTACCGGGGGTGGGGTTTCCATTTTTGAACGCATTTGAACACAAGCTTCAACTTAGTAGACTGGGGTTTGTTTAGATTTTTTCCAAACACTCGCTTCACTGCATCCTAGTGGTACGTCGCGTCCGGAAACAATACGTACCCTTCGCTCTGGAATTGAAGCGGCTTGCAGACGGAAGCTGGTCAACGCCAGCAAGTCCAGAGTGCAACAGCAATGGTCTCATTGTGACCTTTTGATGCGCTTTCGCTGTCAGGTCAGCCACAGGTGCCAGCCCAGGCTCAGGACCCGAGTCACATGGTGCCTGGCACTCGCGATGATGCTCCGGGGCGATCTTGTAGAGAGCTCGACCTGGAAGTTTGAGGCTTCCCACACCTGCCGAAGCTCAAAGCCAAATCGACCAGCTCCAGAAGCAGCTCCAGCAGTGAAGGCCCAAGGCATCCTACTTCAAGCTTTCGCGGTTCACGGATGACGTTTTGAGGGATGAGGCGGATGAGGATGGCGTCGGCTTTGCTCTGTGTGGTCTTGTTTTGAGGCTTCAGCAGCAGCAACAGTAGCCGACTCGGCCAGGGAGCTGTGAAGATCTGTGCTTCCGACTTCTGAGCTTTGTGAGGCTAATCATGCAGCGACAGATGCAGAGTCTGCAAGTGCTCCATCCTCGGATGGCATGCTGAGAGCTCCTCCGCTTTTGGTCAAGGCTTGCGCCCGCAGCGCAGCGTTTCGCCGAGAGCTGAGGACCGCCGCCTCGGGCGCCTCCGGCGCTCTCAGAGCGCCCGATGCTCCGGAGCCAGCGCCGGGCACTGGGCTGTTTAGGGCATCCGCCACTGACGCTTCCGCTTCTGCGGCGAGGTCGGTTCCGAATGTGGCGCCACGGCCACAGCCGCCAGTGTCAGAGGTCTGAGGGTCTGAGGGGCTGAGGGGCTGAGGTGCTGCCTCCCTGCCCCTCCCGCCCCACCTGTTGCAGGCACCGCCGCCCTCGCAGCCCATGCCACAGCCGGCACAGCCAGTGCTGCCCCTCCCAGTGGCCCCAGCATCGCCGCCTGCAGCTCTTCAGGCTGCCATCTGCTGCGTTTGGAGTCGGAGTGGAGCAATGCAGCAGCATGGAGCAGCCTTGTGACCAGTCACAGGTGGAGGAGCTGGTCGAGGCCTGTCGCAGCAAAAGCTGTGACTTCCTAGGCGCAGTTTCACTGCGACCCAACAGATCTCCAATCGATTGTGTCTCGACTCGCAAGGCCCAATGTGCTGGTTGGGGAGACGACTGGTTTCCAGCGAAGGCTAGGCTGGAGCGGCTAGTGTGCACAGGTGCCAGAAGCTTCTTGAGACAGTGTCCAGACTGCAGACTTTTGTGTTGTGTCAGGTGCGAGAGCTCCTGCCCAACAACGAGGTTCAGGCTTGAGGGATTGAGGGAGCTTCAGCACATGCTCGAACCGAAGAGTCTAGGAGTGGCCCTTGGTTCCTGTGACGAGGTCCTCTGGGAAGGCGAAGAGCCTTCCATCTCCAACGTTGCTCTGAGCATGGTCCGCAGACGAGGCTCAGGCCGGGAGCCCCTTTGCCGCTCAGCCGAGGGCCGAGTTTGGCTGAGCCCGTTTTGAGGCGATGCAACGCTTTGCGTCGCAGCGGAACGAGCGAGCAGCGCGGGTGAGCCAATGTCCCAGCCCCTGGCTGCGGCTCCGGCTGATCCGGCTCCGGCTCCGCCCCCTCAGACGCTCCCGCCCCAGTGCCTCAGTGCCTGAGCTTCGCAGGGCCATGGGAGAGTTTTATTGCGAGGCCAGAGGTCGAGGCGCCTTCGCGGAAGAGGCCCGCGGCCGGACCGGCGGAGGCCTCGCGCTTTAGGGTTTGAACATGTGTGGACAACTGCCGATCGAGCAATTCAGAACCTTTGTTTCCCTGCCCCAGATCTGCTACGCCCACTGCGGCTCAGAGAGGTCTTGTTGTGCTGCGAAAAAGCCTCGGATAAGAGCCATGGGCGACGATGCGGGCAAGATCTTTGTGGGAGGTTTGCCCAAGAGCTGCTCGCAGGAAGCCTTGCAAGCTTGGGCTATGCAGCATGGCGCAGTGAGCAACGTCGAGGTGAAGGTCGACCCCATGGGCGTCTCTAGAGGTTTTGGCTTCGTCACCTTTCAGGACCCAAGCGTAGCTCAGAACATTGTTGCCAACAAGGACAACAATTCTATGGACGGCAAGTGGATAGACTGCAAGTTGGCCATGCCACCAGGCTCTGCACCAGCAGCCGGTGCCAAGGGCGCGGGTAAGGGTTCCATTGACCCGAACAACCCGAAGATCTTTGTGGGGGCATTGCCAAAGAGCGCCACTGATGACTCAGTGATGGCTTACTTCGGCCAGTTCGGAGCAGTCAGAGAGGTCACTGTCAAGATGGCAGAAGATGGTCAGTGCAAGGGCTTTGCGTTCGTGACCTTTGAGGACGTAGCCTCCGCCAAGCTCGTTTTGGATAACTACAACTCGAACATGTTCGAGGGCAAGTGGATTGATTGCAAGCCAATCGTGTCCATGCCGAAGGGCAAAGGCAAAGCCTTTGGCAAAGGCTTTGGTGGATTTGGAGGCTTCGGCAACGGTGGTTTTGGCAAGGGAGGCTACGGCATGGGAGGAGGTTTCGGTGGCTACGGAGGTGGCTATGGTGGCGGCTACGGTGGTGCTTGTGGTGGTTATGGCGGCGGTGGCAAGGGTGGTTACGGCGGTGGCGGCTGCGGAGCATATGGCGGAGGTGGCTTCGGTGGCAAAGGGGGAGGGGGAGGATACGGTGCAGCTGCAATCGGATACGGCGGTGGCTACGGAAAAGGCTATGCGCCGTACTGAGCAACGACGAAGCTGATGGCCTGAGCTGCATGGCTTATAGCCACAAAAAAAAGCTGTTTCACATCCTAAACCGGCCTCAATCTTGTCGTATGAATGGAGGGTAGTCTTAGGCGCGCGGCCGCAAAGAGCGAACATGACTGGTACCAATGCGAAAAAGTTTTCGTCCGGCAGATGTGGTCACGCTTGCAAGCCGGAACCGCGGGACTTTGAGGCCACATCCGTGGAAGTCGATGGGCCTTTGCTGGAGTTCAGCTTGCGTGCGCGCCAGAAGTAGCCGTGGCCATGCAAGGCGGTCGAGCGGAAACTGAGAGAGTCAGGTCCCGGCATGGAGTTTTCAGAAGCTTTTGCCAACCTACGCAGGCAGGGACAGGGACTGCGCTGCCAACGAGTAAGACTGGCAATTGATTGGTGACGGAGGCGCTTAGAGCTGGAGCTGAAAGAGGGCCGGAAAGTGTCGGTCCGGCTGCGGGTTGTCAGGCCACGGCATGAACCACGCATTCAGTGCTCAGTCTGCTGTGATGTTCTCTTCTCTTTGAGGCCCCCGCCGGAGCCCACGTCGCCACCGCCGCCCGCCGAGCCGCCCGACGAGGCCCCAGCCAACTTGCAGCGAGCGCCGGCGCCGCCGGGGCCACCGGAGACGCCAAAGACGCCGCCGGTGATGGAGGCCTGCCTTGGACTTCTCTGCATGCAAATTTGCTGATTGGGCACCGAGAGGCCTCGCATAGGCCAGTCCTGCCAAAGGACAAAGGCGAGGCACCTTTGCAATTTTTGCAGAGACCGCCGTGCATTGGACCTGACAGGTGCTGTACCGCCCAACTTCCCGAGCGGGCAGCGGGGGAGGGGGAGTGTGCAAGCGAGTTCACAGAATGCCAATCCGTCCTGTGAGGCCCCGGTCGATGCCGCAGAAGGGCTGGTGGAGGCTCGAGCAGAAGATTCGCTTAGAGACCGGAGAAGACTCTGCGCCGCTCTGCGGCCCTCTCCTCCTCTCCTCTTCCAGGCCGGGCTACGGAGGTGCGGCTTCTTGATCCACGGGGGCATGGTCGCGGGCGGATGTAGTTTGCGCTCGTTTGGCGGAGTCTGGAGGCTACGGCAAGGGCAATGGCTTCCGAGCTGCCATCTCAGTCGTCTTAGTCTCAGAGTTTGAGCGGCGAGGCCTCAAGTCGTTTAGCTTTGCGAGGCACCTAGCTGGACCTGAGGGCGAGGGCGGTCATCCTGCTGACAAAAAAGGTAGAATCGCATTTTCTGTCTTTCCATGCCAGCACTGAGGCACCTCACAGACATTCACAGATCATGCTGAACCCGCAACATTTGGCTGTAGCCAATGGATGTCCCTAATTTGCCCGACCGTGAGTCGGGTCAGACGCGGCCTCAGGGGTCCTTTTCTGCGAGTTGCATCATCGCACGAAGATTTGGTCTAGAGTCTAGCAGCTGAGGCAGCGGGAATGCCGCCGCAAGCCCAGAAGACGCCAAAGTCAGCTTGGAGCCGTGCCTGGGGAGGGTTTGACAGAGAAACAGAGCCAAGTCCGACGCCTCCGGAGCCCGGGAAGCCGCCGCAACGGCTGCAGGAGCTGTCCGGCAAAGGGTCTCTCTGGGCCGGCGCCGCTCTCGCTTTTTGCAGGATCCGTTGCAAGATCGGCCGGTGAAAGAGGCAGTGGACACCAGCGGATGGCAACAGCGGAATTCAACAGCAGTCCTGCTCTGCCATGCTGCGCTTCCGCTGTCCACAGGTGCCTTTGCCACCCGCCCAGCTGTTGACTGCAGAAACCTTTTACGAGAAGTGGTGCCGGCTCGGCTGCGAACACGGAAAGCGAGTGATGCAGCAGCTTCCGCTGTGTCCGCTGTGCTGTAGCCAGGAATGGTGAGCCGAACATGCCGGTGCTGATGGAGCACTTGCCAGCTTCCCAAGCGTCAATTTCCTGGAAGACGGCACAGCCCGATGGACGATGACCCACTGCAGGATTTTGGAAGGAGCTCTGTCTCAAGAGCTCCTCTTGGACATAATAAGCAAGGCAGATAGTTTTAAGCCGGTGTAGCTTGTGGGCATTCGATTGGTGCTTGCAGGCGTCAGACCTGTTCAAGGATGAACCCAACTTGCACAGAGCCCAGTGAAAATGTCACTGCTCTCTTGTGGATCTTTGCCGCCACAACAGGTTGAAACTCAACGATCCCATTACAGTAGTTGGAGACATCCACGGCCAGCGTCCCAGACATCTTCTGAGAGTGTGGCAGACTGGAGCGTTCCGACAAGGGCGAAAAGTTTTGAACTTGAGGTCAGTATTACGACCTTGTGAAGTTGTTGGAGGCGTGCAGGGCTGCAGTCGTCAGTCGTACACTGCGAGAGAGGTCGCAGCTACATGTCAGGTTGGTGGACAGCCTGGTGAGACGCAGTACATCTTTCTAGGAGACTATGTCGATCGCGGCTTGGTGCAGTTGGAGTCAGAGCAGTAGGGCGCATCTCAGCGGTTAGAGCGGAAATCCCTCTCTTTTCAGGTGGATCCTTCTCCGTCGAGGCCATCGACCGTTCGGATCCGTTCGGCTCTGCAGAGTGTGTCATCCCCGTCGCGAGGTCGTTGCTGTGCTGTACTCCTTGAAGATCAAGTACCCTAAGCAGGCTCCAGTCTTAGCTGAGTGGCATTGTGTGCAAGCACCATCGCAACCAAAAGGCGCTGCCCCGAAAGCGGAAGCCCTGACTCCGCCAGCTCAGGTACGAATGCTCCGAGGAAACCACGAATGCCGACAGATGACGTCGTTCTTTAACTTCCGTGAGGAAGGGGCTTTGGGATACACATTTTGAAGTTTCTTTACGGTTCCATGGCCTGGGATACTTTTTGTCTTCGAAGGCTTCCTTATGCTGCATACACGCGAGCATAGTGCCCACCACGCGGAGTGCTCTGGCATGGAGGGCTGAAGCCTGGATGCTGGCACCAGAGGCACCAGCATCCTGAGCATCATCGTGTCTGCACTTCGCCCTTGGGCAAGCACGGCTTAGTTCAGCTTCATTCATCTTCACCCAAGGGGAAACTGAGAGCAGAAGAGGAAGGGTAGGAAGAGTGCTGGTGTCGACCTGACTTGATTCATCGAGGAGTGTGAGTACAAGTACGACATCGGAGTTTACAATGCGTTCATGGACCTGGCCTGAGCTTCTCCATCGAGAGGAATGGCGTTGCTCTGAGATGCCAAGGACTCCTTTGACAACCTGCCTTTAGCAGCCACCATCAATGGCAAGCCGGCACCTCGCCACGCCACTCAAGACGTCACGACTCGCTTTGATTGCGCTGAGGTTTCTTTGTGTTCATGGCGGCCTCTCTCCTGACCTTGGCAACGTCAAGGCCGTTTTCGTTATCCTGTCTGTGGTGATCAATGTCACTGTGTCACTCACTGAACGAGGCAATTACAAAGATCAATCGCTTCACTGAGCCTCCAAAGGAAGGCCTCTTGTGCCACTTGGCTGACAATCCGTGCACATCTGCCCTGAGCTTGGTGTAGCATCTTGAATCTCAGGTGACTTGTTGTGGTCCCGCGCTTGGAGACGTCGATGTGCTAGAGCTGCTGGAGGCTTCTTGCTCATCGCGGGCCAGGTCGGATCCGCTAGAACCCAAAGACGGAGAACAGCCCTGGTCTCAAGAGTGGCGCCGTTGGCGCACGGCATCGCACGGCACTGCCGACCCCAGCCTCGCAGAGAGGGCCTCTCAGATGCGGGTCCGCCCTCAGGCGGCCCAGCGCCAAGAAGGGCGGCCCGCCTTTCGTGCCGAACGAGGCAAGGCATCGCTTCGCTTGGATCGAGAGCCGCATCGCTTGTCCCATCAGGTCCGCGGCTGTTCGTATTTCTACAGCAACGCTGGCATGGCCTTGCATGGCCTGCACGTCGCCTTGTCGTCGCCGCAAGTCTGTGAGCTGCCAGGTTTTGACGGAGCGACAACATTTCTGAAGAAGAACAACTTGTTGCCCGAGACTTGGCTTGGAGCACTCCGCGGCACAGGGCACGGAGAGATGAGCGGACCGCCCAGAAAAATCTGAAAGCTCAGAGGTCGATCATTCGGGCTCACGAAGCTCAACTCGAAGGCGCGATCACGCGTGTCTCCATCGCAGAGCACAGTCAGCACTGGAAAGGCTACAAGATGCACAAGACGAATCCAAGCACAGGGTTTCCTCTTGTGTTTGCCCTACTCGTGAACAGAAGCAATGCGGGGAGCAACGGATCCAGCGGCACAGTTGCACAGCCGTGTGCCCAGGTCATAACAATTTTCTCCGCGCCGAATTATTGCGACGTTTACAACAACAAGGCTGCCTTGTAATTTGATTCTCATCTCGAGGCAGGGCCACAGGGCAGTCCTTGCAAAGGGAGCCATTCTCAAGTTTGACAACAGCACCTTGAACATCTTGCAGTTCAACTGCTCACCGCCCCCTCCTCAGCTCATCGCGTCGGATCCGTCACCCACCGGCGGAGCAACCAAGGCACCCCTACCACCTGCCTGTTTCTGAGACTGCAGCGAATAGAGTCACTGGTAGCTTCACTGGCAGAAGAAGGAGTGGGCCCTGTCTTGGAGTGAGGCCAAACTTCATGGATGTTTTCCAGTGGAGCATGCCCTTCGTCATCGAAAAGGCTCGGCCAGCGAGAGGGTGGGGATCGGCAGTGGAGCCCGGACTGCCCTCAAAGGTGACGGAGATGCTCTACTACATCCTGCAGCCTGCAGCCGGAACGGTGGATTCCGACGATGACTCCGATCGGGACTTAGAGCGATGTCGCGGTCTTGAGCAGCGCCGCCAAGCAAAGCAACCGCTTGTCCAAGGCCTTGCCCACTCTGCCTGACTCCAACTGGGTCAACCATAGAGCTATGCTCTCGGCATCTCTCGGAGTTGATCCCAAGCCCAAGCCTCCCCCTTTTTGAGCTTTTTGGAGGCCTCCCTGACCGACGATCAGAATCAGGCACATCCTGCACATCCTGCGCTTTGGCGCTTTGTAGCACTCGAAAGCCTGTGCCAGACGGTGGACATGGCCACACGCTTGGCGGCGCGGGCCTTTGCTTCCATCAGCTGCAGCCACTCTCCTGCTCTTTGTGCTCCAGAGGCGTTGATCGCGGGCGAGAATGCCAAAGAAAGAGAAGCAAGTGGTTCAAAGGCACAGTAGGGCCACAGTGGCCTCCGTCGTCAGCTCCCGGAGTGCCAGGTCGACCCAGAGGTTCGAGACCGAATGCGAAAGAAAGTGCGATCCATAGCAAGGCCGGACGGCCCGGCCCCGACCGAGTTACGAACCCCAGAGCCCGCGTGCGCTGGGTTCCTCCGCGGGTTAGGTACCTGTCGAGTTTGTGGGATCTTTCAACACCTCTGCGCGGAGCTCCTGCCGCGGCATATATTAGGGAGGTACCCCGCAAGAGGGAATCCTTTCGTGGGCGTTGGATAACCTCGCCATGGCGTTTTAGGTACCTGTATAGACTAGAAGATGTGGGATCTTTCAATGTCTCTCTGCAGCTCGGTTTTGTTCGAGCAACTGCCACGAAGGACACGGAATCCTGTGGCGCGCGCGTTGGATACCGTCCCATCCCACTGTCCCCGGACGAGTTGAAACCTTTCGCGCGCGCTAGGTTCCTCCGCGAGAGATGTGGGAGCTTTCAACACCTCTCCGCAGATTACCTGCACAGGGTACTCCAGAAGGTGTCCCGCAAGAGGCAATCTTTTTTTCGCGCGCGCACGCGCGCGTTGGACAACCCTCCATCTATCCCCCCCCTGCACGGGGCTCCAAGATGTACCCCGCAAGACAAAATCTTAAGAGAATCTTACCCAGCCACATTAGGCTTCCAGGAAATGGTTTAGTTACAGTACTATTTTATGGATGTTTCTGTCGCTTTCGGATCGTTTTGGTGGGGGAAGCAAGCGGGGAGGGTGGGACGGAAGAGGGGCGGAGAGCTTTTTGCTGGAGTGTTTGATAGTGTTTGCATCTGTTTGTCGTGTTTTTCAAGGAGGAGGGTGGGAAGGAAGGGGGGGAGCACTCTTGCAGGAGTGTTGTTATTTATTCGTAATTTTTTATCGTTCTTGGATCGTTTTGGTGGGGGAAGCAAGGGTGGAGGATGGCACGGAAGCTGGGCGGAGCACTCTTGCTGGACTGTTGTCATCTTTTTGTCACATTTTGTCGTTTTGGGATCGCTTTGGTGGGGGAAGCCAGGTGGGAGGGTTGGACGGAAGTTGGAATGATAAAAAGACTACAAACAAACTTTTCTTCTCAACACCAGCGTGTGGCTGTAATCTTCCAGAGGGAATCTTTTCGCGGGCGTTGGAAGTCTCGCGGGTTGATACCTTTCGCGCGAAGTACCTCCGCGGGGTAGGTACCGGTCAACTAGATGATGTGGGATCTTCCAATACCTCTCCGCGGGTGACCTGCGCGGGGTTCTCCAGTAAGTACCCCGCGCATTGGATACCCCTCATACTCTTCGCACGCGTTTGGTGCCTTTGGTGGCTAGTTGCCTGTCTGCTATAGCCTCCCAAAGCACTTTTTATAATAGTTCAAGAACGCTCTGGAAACGCTGTCTTTTTGTTTCGATACATTCCAATCCAAAGCTGCTTCAGAGCCCTATAACTTAGAGAGGATGCGGGTTTCAACACCTCTCCTGTGGGTTGCTTGTGCGGAGCACTCCAGCAAGAGGGAATCCTTTCGCGCGAGTTGGATACCCCATGCTCAGGCGGGTTGAATTATTGGTCCGCATCGGTACCTCTCCGCAGGTTCGTTACGAGGATGTGGGATCTTTTCAATACCTCTCCGCGTTACCTGTTCGGGCTCCGTCAAGGAGGAACCCTGCTACAGGGATCCTTATGCGCGTTGGGTATGCCCACCCCCCCAACCCTGCTCCTCGCGGGTTACTTGCGCAAGGCGTACTACTTCCCATCGTCTCGCAATGTCTCGCACGCGTCTCACGGGTTGGGGTTGGAGCTTTTCACGCACGGGGTAGAACCTTGCAAGAGGGATCCTTTTGTCCGCGTTGGAAACCTTCCCACCCACCCCCCCCATCCCCGCCAACTCTCTGTCCTCGGAGGTACCATGCAAGAGGGAATCCTTCTGCATGCGTTGGATACCTTCCCACCGATGCCTGCCCAGCCCCATCCCCCCAGAGGGTTGCTTGTGCGGGGTACGAGGGAGTCCGGGTTGTGTCAGACTGGAGCCCTGCTTGCCAGGATGGCTCGCATGTTCAAGACTCTCAGACAGGACGGTCCAGAACCTCCCATCACCAAGCTTTTTTTGTTGACGATGACAGGAGAACGAAACCGTGGTGCGTCTAAAGGGCGTTTGCCCAGGTGTGTGGCTTAGAAGTTGGTAAACTGGTACACTGTATGGGTAACATGCTGACTTGCCTCTTTGAAGGCCACAAGCTGGCTCCAGGGCTTCTCCTTGCGGGCAAGGACCGATTAAACCTGACTCGTTCCCGCGACTCGAAGACAGAACAGGAGCGACTGACCTCTGAGCTGGAGCTCTTCAGCCACGCCCAGGACCGGGATCAGGGGCCCATGGCACGTACGGCGCAGCTTGTCGCATCGCTGCTCAGGGCATCGATCTGGTGAACGAGAAGCGGCCGGAGGCCGCAGGGGACCCAGGGGACCAAGAGCGGTTTCAGGCTGCGCCGCAGCACGCAGCAAGTGCTGCCAGAAGTGCTCCGCTCGGCACTTGGCACTGAGGAGGGCAAGTCCGGCCCTGGGCTCAACAGCCACTCGGACACAATTCGCTTAGGCCCCCTTGGCCCTCGTTTCGCAACGCCGTCTCTCAGGCCCGACGGACTTCCGGGATGCGGGGATGATGAGCGACGGCGAAGTCAGCTTGAGCCCCAGACAGTGCTCTGTGCTCTTCTTTAGGCCAAGCCTTGCCTTTGGGCGCTTGGCGTTTTGACGAGGCCCCTGATGTGCCCGGGAGGTCTTCCTTTGTGAGGCACCAAAGCCTGGGTCTGGCTTTCGGAGAAAAAATCTTCTTGAGTGTCAGGCGGAGTTTGGGCTTATGAGCCTTGGCAAACGATGTTCCGAGCTTGAGTGCCACGAGCGCGCAGGGCACAGCACGCAGCCGGGCATGCACGCACTCGCTAAAGATTCGTGAGAGAGTTCAAGACTCTAGACTCTCTTACTTGCAGTGACGCCATGATGCCGATCTGTTCTCCAGAATCGAGCATGCCCATGCTTGGCAAAGTCTCACCCCAATGCCCTCGAAGACTCGCTTCTTCTCAGCCGGGCATGAGTAAGCCTGCCACGGCCATATAACGGCCGTAATGGTCTCTTTTGAGGCGAGGATGAGAGGGTGCTCTGTGCTCTAGCCCTCTTCAGTCTCTTTGAGGGAGCTCAAGAGGGCACTGTCCGAAAGAGCAGTGACGCTTTGTGTCGGGAAGTCTTGTTGGAATCTTGGTTGTGGACTCGATCGTATACGAGGCAAGGACATTTGATTCTGAGATCGGCAGCCGTCCTGCATTTGTGATATGCCGGATGCCCCAATCTGGGGGAGTGGAGCTTGCCGCAGAAGACAACAAAGTTGATCCGGATAGTGTGGAGAATGTGAGTCCAGGAGTTTTACATGCCGTTCCACTGCCACATGTGATCGATGTTGGGTCGCACTGGCTGTAACAGCACATGACAGTGACCATGAAGCCCGAAGAACAGGCACTACGGAAAGATGCCCAAGCATCACATTCCAACGCCGGCCGGCCTCGAGCCACTGCGGAGCTGAGCTTGAGTCAGGTAGTCGGACCACAGTCAGCCATGTACCTCTTTCACCGGCTGCTGAGCCTGTTGACGATGATGTACAACGAACACGATCAGTTGACCTTGTGTCAGCACCTCAAATCAGAGTGCAGTGGTAGCAAGCGAGTGGAATCTTTCGAGCCACGGCTCTGACAGGTGATTTCGTCAGGCCAAAACAGCGCCGACAGATTCAGCGAAACTGGGATGCTAAAGTCAGGTTTACGTAAATTCTCCTCTGGTTGTGGCGAACCCGGTGTTCTTTTCGTTGTCGATCAAAGAGCATTGACGGGTTTGGTTTGACGTCTTTGTTACCATTCCAGTGACATTGTTGTTGTTAGCCAGCAACATCATCTGCACAGCAGGTTTCCTGTTCAGTAGCACCCATCATACCAGGAGATCGATCTGCCCAAGCTGATGACGAGGAGTGAATGTTTCTTGCACTGGATGTCCTGATACATGCAGCGGGCATGACTTCTCTGAGCATGAGAAGACTTGTGCGAAGACAGGAGGGTGACAAGACACCGACCGATTCGCCTCAAGCGAAGGCGAAGGCGAAACCGAAGGCTGGCTTTGCCGGTCTTCGTGGAAAGCTCGGGGTTCTGGCGGCTGTGCAGGTTCAACCTAAGCCCAAAGCGGGATGAGGAAGGTTCGCTTTCCAATCCGCTGAGACCATGGAACGGTTTGAGGGGAGCCAGGTAGCGGAGATGGCCCAAACGACTGGCCAAATTGTGGGGCGACGCTGGTCGTGAGGACGCGGTAGCGCGAACAAACGCAAAGGACCTGCGCAGAGGGTCTGGGGGAGAATTCCCAGAACTGTAAGAGGAGATGACCCTAATGCCTGGGCTCAAGCTCGCCGCTAAGTTAGGTTCCTCTCGAAGCGCCATGCTTCGATGACACGCGAGAGCCTCTCAGTTTCTGAGCCCCGGATGCGTGCATTTTTCAGCGCGAAGTCTCTGGAGGATGGCCACGGCCATGGCGGGGGGAAACCTTCCTCTTCCTCCTCCTGAGCGCATGTGGTCCCTCCTTCGCCGCTGCCGAGAGGCCTCAGAAGGCGGAGGAGCGCGCGCGGCGAGCCGAGTGCGAAGCGCTTCGCGGGCTGTGCAGAGGAGTGGATCCGGAAGCGGCGCAGCTCCGCCGCGGCCTTGCACCTCGAGGACGACGGACGACACAGCAGAGCCTTAGCAGAGGGTTGCAAGACTTGCAAGATGCCCCGCCGCGTGATCTCAGGACGGCACCAACGCTTCTGATTCGGCCAAGGTGGGCACGTCCAGACCCCGCGACTGCCATTAAAGCGACACGGTCTCAGGATGGCGCCAATGGGTCTGAGTCGGCTAAGGCGCGGATCCCAAATCCCAGAGCAAGTTCGTGCAATAGTCGCCCACCCAGGATGAGGCCTTTGCGTATGCGGACACGACCGGTCAGATCGCGAAGCCGGCTGTTCCGGATTGGGGTCATTGGGGTAAAGCACAGTGACAAGTTCAGTCCTGGCCGGTGCGAGGCTCAAGAAGGAAACGAAGGAGTACGAAGATCAAGTCAAGGGCCCGGTCGTGGACACGGCCGTTGCTTGGACTCGAGACCCTTCAACCAAGACGATCGTGTAGAGCAGGGGCATGCGATGAGTGTGGGGGGCGACCGGCGACTGTTCTTCTGATCCAAGGACATGTGGCTTCAAGAGAACACACGCAGCTCGCAAGAGAATTGGTGCATAGGGCTACCACAGGTGGTGAGTTGCAGACTGCTATCCGAAGGTCAAGCAAACTCTTAGAAACTTTCTGCACGATCGCTGGTTAATGTTGCCAAGCGTGTATGTTCAAGTCCAAAATCCCAGGCCACGAGGAGTTTGTGAAGGAGCTGAGTCACGGAATGGACATCGAGAAGCAATTGGTCCACAAGTTGCGCCCCTTTGCCTGCGGAAGCCTGCGGAAGAGGATGCTGTCGCATGCTGTTGCTTTGTGCTATAAGGCACGGAGGCAAAGAAGAACGCCGAGGAGAAGATGAAGAAGGCGCCTGCATTTTGAGAACATGTCGCGCCCTCCCGGAAGCCCACAGCAAGGCGGAGGCGGAAGCGGATGTGGCGTCGAACTCCACCGAAAAGAATTCCACTCAGGAGAGCTCTGCGGAAGCAAACTCCACGGAGGCAAGCTCGTCAGGCACGGTGCTGCCTCTATGTTTTGTCGCTGCTCTTCGTTTACTACCGTCACGAGGCGGCGAGACAGGTCAAAGCAATGCGACATCAAGTTCAAAGTGAGTCAGTGCGGAGCATCTTGTCTTGGAGGGTTCTGATGGCCCAAGGGCATCCTCGGGGCGTGTGTTGCCTCTGGAAAATGCTGTTGGTGTCATAGAGCTCCGTGTGATGGCTACGTTTACGTAAAGCAGGTTGGCACCAGGTAAGCAGGAATCAGATCCAAATACAGTCTTGAAATGGCCTCTTCCGCCGCAGCCTCTTCCGGACCGCTCACCCCAAGCAAAGCATCTGGCCATCTACTTCCGTTCTCGCGGCTCGGAGCTTGCGGTTTTCTGGTTTAGCGTTTCTGCCGTATGTCCTCCGGGTGTGTACTTCTGACTCTGACTGCTTATTGTGTGCATTCTGGCCTGGATGGGATTGGCCTTTGCAGCATTATGCTTGCCGGCTGAAAGGTGGAAAGCTTGAGACTCTAGCATGTCAGACACACGCTCCTTCCTGAATGGGGAGTTCGCGATTCAGTGACATTAGGGTCGCTTCCGAAGGTCATGGTTCACTGAATGGTTGGAGAATGCAGATGCCGTGGTGTTGCTAACAACGCAGCTGGATTCACAGCTGACTGTGCATCGCGATAGGATGTCTAGCCGACTCTAGCCCTTGTGCGAGTCTGCTCTCTTGTTTCGGCTCGACCTGCATCCGCAGCTCTGCCACAAGCCGAAAGCATTCCTCCGTGTTGTGCAAGCCACACAGACGCGCAATGGGATTGCTCAACATCTTGAAGAAGATGAAAAAGGACCGCCGGGCCTCCGCAGATGGATGGGGACCCTATTTTTCTTGACCCTTTTTTTTTTTTTTCTTTGCCCTTTTTTTTTTTGGTCCTTGGGGCCTCGGTTAAAGGCACATGTAGCACCACACCATAGTGATTAGGGTTTAGGGAGACACTCGCTGTATCGAGAGTGTCGCCATTGTTCTTCATGCCAGTGTCAGTGTTGCTAGAAACGAGAGGGAAACTCCACACAGGTCGTCCGTGCGAAAAAGCATCGCTCGCAACCATTTCAGCTGTAGTCTCCAACACCTCCCCTCCCCGCCAAAAAGCACGCCAAGCAAACACCTGCATGGGAACATATAGAGGAGTTTGGTTTCGGCAAGGCCGCAGCTTTGGTGTCGCAGATACAGGGTTTAGGGCGAGATTTCGAATTCTAGATGGGAAGGTTGTCGTATAAAAGAGAAGTTCTCCTATCCGAAAAGAAGGAAAAGACAGGGTTTCCTGTGGACATGCAAATGAAACCAAGTGTTTCTTTGTTTAGTAGAATACAGAGAAGACAGAGGGTTTTCCTATGAAAACAGAGGGAAACAGAAGTTTTCCTAGGCAAACAAAGGGAAAAGAGATGTTTTGCGGTGGAAATACAGAGAAAACCAGGGAATAAAGTTGTTTTCCTGGGCAAATACGGAGAACGCAGGAGCCCAGGGCAAAGGAAAAAAAAAAAGGGCCAAAAAAAAAAAAAAAAAGGGCAAAGGAAAATTCTACACCCCAGATGGATGCCCCTTAAACACGGCCACACTGCCACATGCACAGGACGACAAGGAAGCCCGGATCCTGGTGTTGGGATTGGACAATGCGGGCAAGACCACCATTCTCAAGAAACTGTGCCTCGACTAAGATTCGGTTTGGTTGAGACCCAGATCGCTGACGTTTGGGTTACTGGTAGGTCCGAGGAGGACATCTCCCACATTATGCCGACACAGGCCCGAGATGTTGTTTAAAGGATCCCCTTGGGCTGGTGCATATCGTCTGTATATCTGCCGTGCCTTTGGTCACCCGGCCCGCTTCAGGGGTTCAACATCAAGAGCATCATGCAAGATGGCTTCAAGTTGAACGTTTGGGACATTGGTGGGCAGAAAGCGATTCGACCCTACTGGAGCAACTATTTCGAGAACACGGATGCACTCGCCCGGCGCTCGGTCCAATGCGTCGCAGTCCCATCATGCAGAGGAAGCGGTAGCGTGGGGGCGTCCGTCTGGATTGCCCCGAGTAGCTGCGTGCAAAGCCCACCATCAAGCACAAGTTGTCTGCATCCGTGAACAGCTTTAGCACAAGAAAACGAACGTCAACAGTTTCACTCGGCTGGACCGAGCAATGTTGAGACGATGGCGAATGATAAAAGCACTGCTGTCAAATAGGCCAGGAACAGACATAGCATGACTGTGGAAAATGGGCGCCTGCTTTTTGCCGACAGAGACGTTCGGGAAGCGACTTCGTGCACAAGCAAACTAGCCAGGCCCCTCTTCTTGCACGGTTTTCCAACATCAACTCCAAAAGGGACCGCAACGGTTCCAATGCGAACAAGCCGCAAACTGGCAGTGACTACTACTGAGCTGACACTATAGTGAGGAACACAGGCGAGAAAGAATCCTGATCATCAGAGTTGCAGCAACACTGCTAGCAACGATGGCCGTAAAATCTGCGATTGCTGCCGACTGCTGTCGGGTGATATTGGCTGCGTTGCAGCGCCTTTCGGATGCCAAAGGGCACAGACATCCGCCAGATCCGCAGAAGTTGTGCACCGTTGCTTGAGCCACATCGATCGCGGCATTGGATAGCGCGAGTCTGAAGCAATACTTAGATATGTATAACAAGTCATTGCCAATCCTGAAACCTTAAAACTCCAAACCTCCACTCTTCGTCCTGGAGGTCTACGTAATCGACTCCTCCGACCGGCGGCGCCTAGAGGAGAGCAGCGCTGAGCTGCGGGAGCTCCTGGCGGAGGACAAGCTCGGGGGAACGCCCATGCCAGGGACTCAGACGACTCATAAGAAATGCCATCGGGGGGAAAGGCAGACCGACAAGTGTTGTTACGATGTGTGGGTTTATTTGATGAGTAGTACGATGTGTATTTTCGGCGTGGCAAGTAGGGAATCAGGGAGCAGGTTTGTAGCCCTTCTTGAAAGCGATGACGACAGTTTCTTTTCTCCCTGCTGCTGCCTTTTTTTTGCTCAGTTGTTCACTGGACGCGAGTTCTCGGCTGCCTTGGCTGCCTTGGTCTGGTCGGGTGTCCCAAAACGAAGGTCAGCGTCGGGTCGCAGGGCGCTCCAGTGTGATTGTAGGGGGCCTTAGACCCGGGACCCGTCTCTTCGGAATTTCTTGCCGCCACTGCAGTCCGTTTCTCAGCGAAGCGTGGAAGAAGATCTTTTTGAAGATCTGTGTCCGAGGTCCCGCATCTCGCGTATGTGTTGGATTTCCCCCTTCCTCTCTGCTGACCTTCGGATCTCTTGGCTTTTGTTCCTAGTCTCTCCGGCATCGCTCAGCACCGCTGAGGTTGGTCTACGCGAACAAGCAGGAGCAAAAGGGTGGCCCCTGACGCGCCTCTGCGCGTGCGCCGCTGGCTTTGAAGGATCTGCTACAAGCTTCGCCTGCAGACGAGATCGCAGACGTCATGGGGCTGGCAAGCATCACTGACCGAGTGCAACTTGGCGTCGAACAATCGGCCATTGCATACGCTGGCTCCACCCTCGCTTTGACTGTGTCGCTGAGGTGGACTATCCAAGCATGCAGCGCCAAAACGGGTGAAGGTCTGCAGGTGGGTTTAGAGTGGTGTTGTCTTTGTGCGCGCTTGGTCCAGCAGTCCAGCACTGTTTCCCTGCGGTTGCCACAGGAAGGCATGGAGTGGCTCATCGGAAACTGCCAGAAGTAGCCGTGGAAGTGGAAGGCGCAACACGCGCTTCCCCCCGGCGGATGTTTCACACGGACGTCATGTGCCGAAGCATGCGGTTGATAGGAGGGAGGCTGCTAGAGTGTGGGCTCCATCCCTGCCGTCTCACTATCACTAAGATCACCTGACTCACCGATAGCAGCATTGGGAAGGAAAGGGAGTTTTGTGCGCACGCTTGCGAGCCTCGGTTATGACTTCCGCTGTCTGAACTTCCGGGCCGACAGGACTATCGAGCTCAGACATCGGTATGTGCGAGACGTTCCAGAGCAGGACAGAAGCAGCAAGCAGCGAGAGATCAGCACAAGCAGAGTACTTAGCCACAACGATGGTGAGAGATGGGTACTCGGCAAGAAGAGATGCCCGGAGCTCAGATTCGTTCTGTGCTCTTTAGCTGCAAGGTGTGGGCTCCTCGACAGTACAAAAAGACACGCTTCACTCTTGCAAGTTCAAGCCGTGGGGCAATGCCCCAGCACGCGTAGCCGCGTAGCGTGCCGTCCTTGCACACAGGGCCAGGGCCCACCACGGCCGGGCCGCAAGGCGCGCATGACCGCTTTGTTTAAGCGGCCGTGGCTGTTTCTGGACAGGACGAACAGCCGCCCCCCAGCATCGGTCTGGAGCCCAGCGTATCAACCGGTTTCGAGCGCTGCCTTGAAGCGGCGAGCCGCGCTGTGCCGCCCAGGTGCGACCCCCGCACTGGAGGCCTTCCGTGCCGCAGCCCTGGGCCCTGCAGCACAGCCCTCGACCGGAGAAGGCTCGAACGCAGTCAAGAGTTTAGATGAGGTGCATTCAGAACACAGGGGTATGTCGACGTCCATCTGATCTTGCTAGATCGCCGGCTTACCTCCCTGGAGATGTACACGCAGAATCAGGCATGGTCTGATGTCAGAAGGCATGCGGGGCGGCTTGTTCTGTGACGTGCGCGAGCCAGCTTTCGAAGATACCCAAGCCGGCAAGACGGAGCATCTACATAGCAGGGTGCTTAAACACGTTCCCAGACTCTTAGACAGATTTGCCACTTGAAGGTTGCAGACAAAGTAGGCAGGGTCCTGACATAGCAATGCGTGTTGCAAGCCGATGGGCCCGGGCTGTGCAGCGACCTTTGTTTCGCCGGCCTTTCTCATCACACTACGGCCACTATGGGCTGTGGGTGAACGGTGAATACGTTGAGGCCGCTGGAGGGCAACGCTGCTCCGTTTTGAGTCCAGCAACGGGCGAGGAGGTGGCCACCTTCGCGTCTGCGGGCGCTACAGACGTCAACCATGCCGTCTCGGAAGCTTTCAAGGTCTTCGAAGCGGGAGACTGGAGCGAGAGACTCTCACCCCGGGACAGATGTCGGGTCCTCTCGAAAGCCGCAGAGCTCCTTCGCCAAAGTCTGAAGGACTTGGCGGAATTGGAAACACGACAGACAGGGCGCTGCCTCCGCGAGTACCATGCGCAGCTGGGAAGGGTGCCCGAGTGGTTCGAGTACCACGGCGCCTATGCCGCGACCAAGGGCTTCGAGGGCCGACTCCCGGCAATCGATCGTGACCATGTGAACCTGGTCTGGAGGGTACCTTTGGGAGTCTGTGGTCTGATCACGCCATGGCAGCCTGAATGATCAAGTGCAGAAGCTCAATAAACGGGGCTTTCTGTCTTTCCCGAACGAGGCTGCTCAACCAGTTGTCCCTACCCGAAAATTTTTGCTCGGGTGCGTGTCAGTGAGGAATCATCCCATGCTCATTGCGGCCAAGAAGATCGCGGTGGCACTGGCTGCAGGGAACTCGGTGGTGGTCAAGCCACCCGTCGAGGCGCCCCTTACGGTGCTGCGCTTGGCCGAGCTCTTGCAAGAAAGCGGGCTGCCGCCCGGCGTCCTCCAGGTAGTTCCCGGAGAAGGCACCGAGACCGACAAACAAGGTTAAGCGGGAACCCGAACATTAACCGAAGACAGTGTTGCAAGAAGGGAAATTACCACGATGTCGTTTTGACGCATCTGCAAAGCAATCTTCGAGATGTGGCAGCCGCTGCAGTCGCATCCTGGCACTCCGCCCCTTGTCCATGCCTCTCCCGCACACCGCCTGCGCACCCCATATTGCGCTCACGTCCTCTCGCGCCCACAAAGCGCACACAACCCCCCACCCACCCATCCACCCACCTACCCATCCACCCACCCCCACCCACCCCCACCCACCCCCACCCACCCCCACCCACCCCCACCCACCCACCCGCCCATCTATCGGCAGCAGTATGCGCCGGCTTCGGCCATGTTTGCCTGTGACAATGTGCTTCAGTTCAAGGATCCCCGAGAGGACATGATCGCTTCCTTTAAGGCATGTGTCCCGATCGTCTATACGGACTACGGCAAAAAGATTTCTCACTTTGGTGGTCTTCGTATTGCACCGCATCAGGCCGTTGAGTACATGGGATGGGGCAAGGCAAAGCAGTTGGCACGGGACAGGGCGTACAACAGCAATTGGGAACTATGCTACATCTGTTACTATGACGCTGGCAACTCCGCATATGCAGGTTTCATGAAAGGTCTTCTGAGACCTTTATCTCTTCTCGGCGTGAAGAAATTCTTGGAGACACACTTGAGCTTGCGCGGGAGTGCTTACATTGGCGATGAGGTTTCCGGATCGTTTTCCCAACTCGGGGTGGTTTATCGGCTGCCAACGCATGCGCGCGAAGGCTTGGACGATCAGTTTAGCGATATGCATCAGCAGAGGCCATTGAACTGATTACTGCCGATTCTCCGAGAAGGAGATCTACGCTCAGAAAGGATGAAGCTATCGTCAAAAATATCGCCGGAACGGTCGAGGGCTTGCAATCCTAGAAGTAGCGACGCTGCAAGCTCTTTTCGGCTGGAGCGATTTGCAGGGGCGGATTCTTAGGGATAGCAGGGTGCGGCGCAGCACCCCGATGGTTACAGTGAAATGCCTCCTACCGCTCGCAGACTTGCTGCCGTACTGTGCAGTGTGGTTCGCTGGAGTTGTTTGGTCTACAATCCACAGTCTGTCAAACAAACTGAGAGGCTTAGAGACGTACTCCGACAATTCAGATGGAACGATATCATTGCCTTGGCCGGAACCCCGACTCCGGCACAGCCAGCCAGATCAATCAGTAGGGCTGGGGACATGGCAAGCACGTTAATGATGCTTGCGGAGTGGCACTGGCAATCAAGCAGAGAGCGTTCTCGGAAAGAAATGTTGTTCAGGTCTTTTCACCGCCTCCGGACTTGCAAGGTAGAGGAGGTGCACTTCGCATCAAGCGTGGAGATGTGGATATTACACCCATCGTGGTGTATGTCCCGCCGGAACCAGCCAACGTTCGGCAACAAGCAGCATCTAAAGCGATCTGGGAATGGGTGCACAGTGTGTTGTCTTTGCTTCCAGCACGAACCGTGCCTGTTCTCATGTTGGACGCCAACGGGAAAGTCGGACTTCGACAAAACCCCATTGCAGGTGGCGGGCCAGAACTTTACGAGCATGATGCTGTCGGGGGAGCCGACCCGGCGCCGGAAAACTACAATGGAAGTCTGCTGCACTCCCGCGTGCTTGACCACCACATGTTTGCCATCAATACCTTCTACAGCATTGGCCCGACCTGGTATGGGTGGATGGGACCCAACCTTGCATCGCGAATTGAGCACATCGCTCTGCCGCAATCGCTGCGTGGAGCGGTCGTGTCATGTCGCATTCTGCAGGGCAGCGGGGACACTTTACAAAACATGGCTCGGCCAGGCCGATGTGACCATAGGCCTTTGCAAGTGGTATTCGAATGCAAACAAAGCTTCAATCCTCAAAAAGCTGGTGTGCGTTGGGATAGGGACAGAATGGTGCGGGCCTTGCAAGGGAATGCAGATGGACGCAAAGTCGCGCAGTATGTGGAGGAGGCTTGTCAGTCAGACAGGTACGAGTGGGATCCGACAGTGCAACCCCCCAACATCGTGTGGAAGCAGCTCAACACGATCGTGGAGGAAGCCGCTGTGCAGGTCTATACTTTGTTTGCGCAACGAGCTGCCGATGAAACGCCTGCAGACACTCAGGCGGCAGGCACTCCAGCGAAGAGAGAGAACTCGCGCCGACGTGGTGTCGTCTCGACGCAGACATGTCAATTGAAGTCTGGTGGACTTTGTCCAGATATGGCGGCTGCAAGTTGTTTACCGCCAAGCGGACAGGAAAGCTCGACAGTTACTCCAGCGAGACAAACGGCGATGGCTGGAGAGACGTGTGCAAGAATTTTCAGATGCATGGCAAGCAGGCAACCTGCACAGCACATGGCGTGCAGGAATGATGCTCAGTGGGCGCTGCATTGGCCCGAAACTTCGACGGCATGATATTCCGCAGCGCTGCCACCCATCGGCACAAGAATGGACGGACTATTTGGCTGCACCAGGTCCAGCAGGTGGATGCAGACCCACCCCGATTCAGTAGAGCCTGGAGACCATTGACTTTGTGGCACGGGCGCCCACTCATGCGGAATTGCAGCTGGCAGACGAGGATGCACGTCATCTGGAGAAACTCATCAAGCGAGCTCCCTTGCGCAAGTCAGCCCCTTCCTGGGCTGTGCCAATTGGAGTGTGGCGGAGCCTTCTGCAAGGGGCGCGTGGGCGACATCCCGATGCAGCGCAGAAAGCACAGACAGGACATTCTTTTCGGAGACGAGTTTTCCAACTTTGCCTTTGCATTCGTGTTCGCGGTGCCACACCTGCATTATGGCACCGATCCCAGACTACAGAACTCGACAAGCGTAATGCTAAGGAAGGGTGTGTTGGCATTCGCCTCATCAACCAGCTGGATGCCGTCGGGATGACGGGGATGAGTACTACAAACGTATTTGGAAACGCTGCACCCCCACTCAACTACCGCCACTTCGCTGCAGGCTACTACACGCAGAAGTCTTGCATCGCTGCTTGCTATTGTGCAGAGAAATGTCTTGTCCTATAGGTTGACTGCAGCCGGCATTAACCACATGGAGTCGTTCTTTGATGTGTCGAATGCATTCCCCAGCCCAGTGCACGTCATGCCGGACACAGCAGTCGTGGAAGTTGCAAAGCCAGAGGATCAAAATGTTCTTGTGCAACGCCACCGTCAAGCAGTCATGCATATTACTGCCCATGATAAAGAAATTGATGTACGATGCGGCTCTGGAGCACTTCAAAAGAAACAGTCCTTCCAATCCGATCTTCTTGGAAGTATATCACCCGATACTGGATACCTCGCTTGGAGCACTGGCAGATCTACCTCGTGAACGCTCAGATTTTGCGCAAACTCCCTTTGCTCAATCAATGGCTGGACCAATCGTTGGGGACGGCAGGCATGGCGCAGAGCATTGACAAGCAAGAGCATGTTTTCCACGCATCTGGGCCCCACTCAAGGGAAGCACTGCGGCAAGTGTACCGTGCAGGGCTCTGGATTGGCAAGACAAAGGCTGTCTCCAAGTATCTTGGAGATTACGTGCATCATCTTGCTAACCAGTGTACATCAAAAAGTCATTGGCAACACAGCGCTGTAGGGGTGAAGGTAGCCTGGTATACCCTGCTCTGCAGGCCCCTGACTCGTTACACTGTTCCAAGTGTGGACATGATTGTTCTACACCTGCCGGATCTGCAGAATCACATGGTGTCCCACTATGGTGGTCCGCAGTGTACTGCGTTGTGGTGGTGAGCTTGCAAATGAAACATTTATGTGTCTGCGAAGTGTTTGTGGCTGCAGTACTGTTGACAGCAAAGGTGCCCCAAGTTTCATCCGCGGCAGGAATTGGATGGCGAATGATGCTCCGTCGGCGAAGGTTCGTCGGAGTGAGCCTGCGAGCGGAGACGATCATGAACTGCTGCTCGCTGTGGCGAAACTTTGCCTCAAAACGACGGAGGAGGTGAGGGAGCTGCAAGCATCCATCTTCCGTAACGTTATCTTGCCGGCGGACTCGGAGTATGTGGCAGCAGCTAAAGATGCTACAACGGCGTTCGCAGATAAGACCAAAGGCAAAGGTGGAAAGCATGATTTCGGAGAGCCTCATGTGCACTTCTGGGCGGCGGTCGTAGGCGTATGTGTGGAGAAAGTGGAAGGGGGTCAGAAAGGAAGCTTTGCAATCCCACGTTGCCGCAGCCAGCCGCGATGGACCCAAAGCTTTGCTGCATCTGGTTCGCTATGGCCGGCTCGAGAAGACCTATGACCGGAAATATATGAGGATGCATTTCGCAGTTCACCCCTCCATCGAATCAGTCTTGATTGTCATTACGTCGGAGATCCTCAAACATGGTGCCACAGAAAAGCACGGAACAGCACCGCGATCCGCTCTCGAAAGAGACATCCAAACCAAGTTGGACAGCTTGACTGGGGGAGGCGGACGCCAACTGTTGTGAGCAGCAAGCTTTTGCGAGTCCCCAGGCTTGCCCACCCACTGGGTTCTATGCCGGAGTGTTTCTGTGAATGAGCTGGCACCGTGGCGCAGTGTAGTGCGGTGTGCGCAGCTTTGAGGGCAGCGCTCCTAGCGATACCGGGAGACCGGGTAGGTGGCAGGCTGTGTTCTGCCAGTACAGTGCCCACTGAGGTGTTGCGCTCCGTAGTGCCCAGACATGAACACGTGACGCGGTGTGAGGCCACGGCCGATTCACTTGAAGAGGTTGCAAGTGCCGTTCCTACGGTTCTGGAAAAATGCGGGCAACCTGAGGAGGAAGATGTTACGCTAACGGATCCAAATCCACAGTTCAGCCAGGAAGCGCTCCATGAGTTGTCTCATGAACCTCGTTGATGGTACCCTTGGGATCAATGACCGTTTACTTTTATTTTGTGTAGTATATGGGGATCCAAGGCATACGTTGCGGGAATGCCAGCTCAGTTCAGCGAGGAGTTGAGATCATGCAGAACGCCATCTATTCCTATCCCAAGCATCAA